AGGCTTCACCATCCCCACCACAACAAGCAGCGGCACGATGTCGAGCTCGCCCCCAATCTCGACGAACGGGGCCAACAGTCTGGATTTGGGCGGTTCTTTTGCTTCTGGATCATTGCTTGCGATGGGAGCTTCGCTTTTGATGATGCTTGTCTTCTAATGTGGGGTCTTGTAGATCTTTGAGATTGTGAGTGGATAGGTGTGAGGTATGGAGAGGGGTTTCATGTATGAATCATGTCGATGTGTTATTGATGAAAGGGGTAGATACCTGCAAGAGAAGAAAAGGGAAAGAACTACCTGTCTGTATGCCTGTCCTGGGTATGTATGCATACACACGTGCATGCAGACCTGGGCAGGCATGGATGAGTGTATGGGGTTACTTATGTACGGGATTACTGATGATTGCCGACTTTAAGGCTTTAATGTAATTGAACTTTTGTGATTTTTTAACATTCCCCGAAATCTTCGTCCGCTTTACGTGTAAACGAAACTTAGCGTGCTTTAAAGCATAAAGTAAAGTCACGAGGATCATTTCATATAAGAAAAAACCTCGCATTAATGGACGAGTCAATCAACGGGCAGCATACCGGACCTTATGAGTAAATATTGTACATATGTAATATGTGTTTAGCAGTTTCGGCAGATCCCATATTACATGACATAGAGATTACTACCAGCTAATATACAGATCTTCTTGGCAGGCCCATTGCCTAGCTGGGCTATTTAAGTCGCATTCTCTGCTTCCGTCCTCTCTCAATGTGATGTCTCTGCATACAACACATTGTGTCTGAATCAGACAACGTCTTTCTTGCTGTCAAGTATGGCATCCTCTGAAAGTATAGATGCGGTGTCGTGTTATGAGATGGATATGAGAAAGCAGATGAATTGAACGCCCAAAACTCCTGAACGCCTTCCGATTGCTGTAACCCACGGTAGTGATCCGACCATATAAAACCCAATGAACTTGTTATCAGTTCGCCGCGTCTGCCTCGTGACTCGTGAATAGCTTTCGTAAAAGGCGATTGCGCAGATGGTACAACCGCGGTGGTCTGACCAATTGCCGTAGATGGGGAGTATATATGGCGTAGCGTATCGCAAAAAGAGAGCTGGGATGAAAAGGCTAGACCCGGTTCTTGAACTTGGTGGTGCGTGGCCTCACATTCCTAATAACCCCGGAGATGCGCGCCATCTGTTGTCCACGCCATCCGGCTGATCGCCAACCGAAACCTGATGCTCTAAGATGAGGTCGAATGACCTTGACATCCTCCTCTACCTCAATATCTGAATCGAGGATTTCGGCATGATCGCTTTCTTCCGCATCTGGGATGTGAGCATCATCCAAGTCGAGCTCTAGCTCATCAATCACACTCTCTGGAGGGATGCGGTCCTCCAGAAGGTACTCGTTCATGTATCTTGCATTGTTTGACCAATTGTTGTTGCGGAGATCTCGACCCAGGGAAGGCACATGCCAAAGTCGCTGTTTCGAATGGTCCCATCCTGGACCAGTGGTACGGAAATGAATAACCTTGATGGGTGTATACCCCTGAGATTTGAAGTGCTCAATGATGCTGGGAACTTCGTCTTCGTCTGATGTCGCGCTCATATAAGGAGACTTGTTGGCGCGCCCACTTTGCCGAAAATGCATCTGTAGGTGCCGGTGAAAGCGAGCGGCATTGTTGTCGACATCAAATTCGACACCGCGCGCCATCATGCCTTCAGCATATTGTCCCTCACATACGACCCGCCAGAGTTCGGCCGGACGGTCCGCTCCGCCACAGGTGTGCACATACCATTCAAGGTTTACCATGGGTGTACCTTTAGCGAAACTTGCCGTGATATCGTCTTGTCGAAGACCCGGGTAGGCACGCGCGATGCGCTCGCGCCACTCCATGGTAGTCCAAAGCCTGAAAGGTACTGAGGGGTTAGTCCCAGTCCAAACAATGAAAGCGTCGACTTCTGGATTATCGGCTGCGTACACCTTCCGCTTCGAGATTCGCATGATTTTTAGAGTCTGAGAGGGGACCTCGTTGCGTCGATTGCTTTCTTCATCCATGATGATGGCGAGTTGAGTGATTGATGAGTGGAGTGATAGCAAGATTCGTTGAGGTTGATGTTGAGATACCTAGGTAGTATTAGTAGTGTAAGAAAGTCAATGGGAGGTGACTGCTGCGACAAATCCCGAAGCACTTGCAAGGGAGAGTGCAAATACGCCCTTGTGGAGCACGGAGTCTAGGTGACTTCTGATTTGTGTTGATGAAGCCCCGCGGTCAAGGGAAAGCGTTGGGGAAAGGAAGGTAAGAGATCAAGAGCACTTCCCACGTGGTGCTGGAAAGAAGCTGGAAAGTTGAGTACTGCAGTATAACTGGCAAGAGGTACTTTTTGCGACAACTCCCTGCAGGTACTTGAGTTCCGGACGTCAGATCGAGGTCTTGGAGACGCAAGGTCAGAGAAAGTGGTTGGTTCTACTTATCGAGCAGAGGTATTCGGCCTTGGCTTGGTAGTGACGCCCAAGAAATATTCTAGGAGAAAGAGGTTATGAAGAGGATGAGTATCTAGGCAAGGTGCATGTGAGGATGCAGGATCTTGGATAGGTAGGTAGACTGCCTTCTGGAAGAGAGTGATGTACTGGGATATGTCTGAGAAAAAGTGGCCTTTCTTGACAGCTATTTGCAGGCATGTGAACTTCGAGGGCAAGACCGGTTTCGAGATATGAGGTGAAGAGCGTTCTTGCCTTTCCCAGTTGAGAACACTAGTTTAGGCCCAGGAAGAAAGTGAGTTCTCCGGAGCGATGATAGAAGAGAGAAAGTATGAGAGTCCTGATGAGTGTCAGGAGATGTCGTAAGTGATAGATCGAGTTCTGAGCAGACTTGCAGACTCCGTTTCTGAAAGGAATGCTGTGTGAGAAACAAGACTGAGCCAAGTACTGCTGTCATAAGATCAAATGTGGCTGTAGTACCTGCCTGATGAAGATAGAGAAAGGATGCATGAGGTGAAGAAAGCGATGTTGTTTTTAATAATGTAGGAGGGAGTGTTGAGATAGAGGTAACGAGAGGAGTGAGTCTGTTGTCATAGAATTGAGGCGAAGGTGAGGAAGGAAGTAGGGATAAGTAATGCGTGATAGATCTGGGATCAAGCAGGTAGGCAAACTTCGTTGAAGAGCTGAACCACGTGTAATAGATAAGGATGCAGGGCTCCCTGCTATCATCAAATGAAAACAATCAGACGCAACCTCTGTCCCTGGCTGATGAACGCAAGTCGGAAATCTGCAGAGCCAAGCAAGAGATGTTGTTGGTGATGATAACGGAAAGGAAGTGTTGCGATGAAGTTACGGGATGAAGTGAGGGTGTTGTCAAAGAATGGAAATCTTCTACTGAGGTGAACAAGGAAGGGAAAAGGCGGTAACTTCCTTTGGGGTCCTGAAAGTGCTGATGTAGTAGAAATGAAGGCGACGACTTAGTTAGAGATACGCAGTCACCTGGCAGTTGGCGGTGAGAGGAGAAGACTGCGTGTCAACAGTGTTCTTGCTTCATATGAGAGTCTGATGGATGATGCATATGGCTTCTCGAGGTGCAGATAGTTGCTGGTCGGAGAAGACGTTGGGGCTGCAAGTTACAAAGTCTTAGTTCATTGCAGGTAGCACGAAGGAGTGCGACTACCTATCAAGTGTGAGGTACCTAGAGATGCAAGAAGTGTAGAGGATATGGAGATGTGCAAGTGTAGATCAGGAGCCAGGCACATGGCTTTTCATTCCTACCTCATGCAGGCAAGTACGGCCAACTACGGATATCACAAGTAAAACTGGTGCCTTCCTCTTACCTGTGCAACGCAACCAATGGTTCTGAAAGCTTTCCATGTTGTTCACGATATGCAACTGTTTCCTCTAGACCTGTATGATGATAGCTTGGCGATGGCAGGAAGGAAAGTCTGCCCATTCATAAGGAGCAGATGCTTCACATAAATGCGGGCGACGCGCGAGACCTCCAAGCCTCTGCTTACCTGTCAGTGACTGATGACCCAGCTAGGTCGCGATGGTGGCATTTTTGGTATGCCAAATGAGCCCCAAGTTGCGAGATGCGCATAGTCGACATGAGCGACGGGATGAGGGTAAGGGCCTGATGGTCATGAAGATTTGAGATGGCGAAGCGCACATCGTCGTGGTAATAGATGGTTTGCGCCTTGCAACTGTTGCAAACTTGTAATGATACAACAGCAGCGCATTTAACCACATGCTCCTACGTCTGTTGTGGTATCATGAGCAGGGAAGGTAGGAAGCTGATAGAGCCGAGATGCATCAGCAGAGAATGAACCTGACATGTGTCATCAGCTTTTGAGCAATCGACATCATGAGGTGTACATAGTAGAACAAGCGTCGCCGTAGATAGGTAGGAAAGCATCTTCCTCGCATCAGCACGCGAGGTGATGAGAGCAATGAAAACAGCAAAGTAATGAAACAGCAAAAATTGCGGAAAATGGCACGCACGAGGCATGGACAAAAGGTGGCAAACTCCGCGCTGTGCAATGCAGGTCCACACGCCCTAGACCCGAGGATTCTTGAGCCCCCTGGCCTTTTCCAAGGTAAGTATGAAGAAGAAAGGAAAAGAGAAATCTAAGAATTGGTGAGGAAGGGAGCTTATTTATAGACTGGTGGGGCGGTCGGCTGTGGCAGAATCCAGTGAAGCTTGGGTTGGCCACAACCAATGGGCAGTCACTGGGCAGTACCTGCCTACAGGGTACTCACAGGCTACTCACAGGCTACCACAGGCCATTGCGCTTATGACTCACAGGGCGCTCAATCAGCGTCCATTGAACTCAATCATTCCTGCCCATCACTGGAGCAGCAAAAAGCAACTTACGCTACAGAAATGAAACATATGATTAGATAAGACAAGATAAGACCTAAATTACATAGTTCCACTCCACATTCCCATAGAACTATGTCATGACATCACTTTTTCTTTGACAGACTATTATGAGCTACCATAAGCGCAACAATTCACATTCCTGCCCGGGTAGCTCAATTGGTCAGAGCGTCGGACTTTTATGGGAAACCATGAATGTCTGCTATCCGAAGGCTATGGGTTCGAGTCCCATTTCGGGCGGCTTTCCTTTTTGCTCTTTACTATTCCCATTTTCTTTATTGTTCGGCTACTTTTTCCCGCAGTTTCCCTTATTTTGGGTTGAAGTAGCCGGGTATTATCACTGTCAATACCTACCACGTTCCATACGGCAATGAGAGGAGATAGAGAGATAGTGCCAGTCTCCCAATCTGCGTGGCAACGCTTTAGGGAACAAACACGACGATACCTGGCCGCCTGTACTTCGGGGGAAGGAGCGAAACAAATATTTCTCTATATCTGTTGTCAAACATACATGCTCGGCCACTTGGACAAATTCTCTGGACTCGATCAAACAGCCATCAAAAAATCTGTCCATTGCCAAAATTGTTAACAGCTTCACCGAGGTCGGCCATCCAGTGCAGCAGGATGAAGCACATATGAAACTGACAATACCTTGGTTAGGACAGAGCAGTCGGGATGTAGGAAGCCGATCGATCATTCATTTCATTCACTCATTGCTTATAAAGATGGGAATATTTGCTAAGGATAATACTATGTTTGACATATATCTGACTGGGTTGTCCTACCTGCTGGGATAGACAAATAGGTGTATAACTCTCTGCAGAAGATGGTCCATTTACTAACAGCCAGGCCAGCATTAGCATAAGTGAAATGACTTGTGGTGTCTACAGAGCTCTGGTCTCCTCTCTGCAATAAATACAGATAAGTCTTTTGCATTAAGACTGAGTTCTGGGAGTGTATGAAGCAGCAAGGCTAAGAAAGTAATAATACCTGAGTAACTCAAGTGGACAGTTCAGGTAACCGGCAATGACGTCGTTGCTGTTGGATTATCCCTTATGATGTAGGGAGGAACCAAGGGTCCAGCCAACATCAAGCTAGATCAAATTCAGTAGAGGAAATTGATCATCAGTGTTATATTAATAACAGCTCTCTCTATGAAAGCATTTCGTCAGAGGCTACCTAGTCGCTTGAAGCTGTATTGCATGCGTAAAAAAAAGTGTGTACACCGTGACATAGCCGCAGGACTTACACAAATACTCCGTCCTGGATTAGGTACTAGAAAAAGGCTGGGCAGGTGGGGAAGCTATTCCATGTACCTATCGTCAGTGCGCGCTCGGACCATGAATGGAGTTGGTTGGTCCCTTTCTACAACCAAGGGTCGCGTTCACTCTCACTTTACTAGGCCAACAAACCTCACATGCCATTGTCTGGTTTAACACAGCTAACTTGTAAAACGCGTTCTTGTTTAACAATAATAGCGTTGTTCTTTTTTCTTCCTTCCGTTCTCCTCTGAATTTTTACTCTTTTCTCCCTCCCGTCTTCCCTTTCTTTGCGTAAGAAAACATACCTCTCTCTCTCTCTCTCGACTGGATTCGACTCTACTACTGCACAATACCACTTCTGTTTACCTAGGTACCTCTAGTACTATACTAATCCCTTTCTTAAAAAACCTTACTGTTCTTGGAGAGGTGACAACCGGCGATTGAAAGCTGGAAGGCACAAGAGAACACGCGAAAGAAGGAGAGGCACATTCTTTTTTTCTGTCATCATTTGCACTCCCTGAGCTGCCGCCACAACCAGCGATCATCGCTGAATCCTTCGGTTTTTCCCGTGGCTGCTGGACCCCAGTCGTGAACTCATACCCACCCCGCTTGTTCCCTTCTTCCTGGTTCTTTGCCCTCTTTGGTTTGCGATAACACAGCTCCAAGACCGATATCTCGGCTACGAGTTGCAAACATACCAAATCAATTCATTCATCTTTTCATCCCATCCATTAACAAAATAATTCGATTGGTTGCCTAATAACGTCTGTGACATCCCTGCGGTGACTCCGTCATTCCCTCCCTCGCGGCCAGAGCCCTCAAGCTCCTCCACGCCCCAAAAGCAAGAACTCAATCCGTCTGGTTCGGATCACAGTGGGACATGATGGCTGATCATCAGTGGCCCGAGGCTTCACGAAAGCGGGCGCACGTTGACGACCCTGAGCTTGAGGTTGCTGGGAACGTCGGCTTTGGAGAACACCGCAATGTGAGTTTGCTTCTGCCTCCGCCAAAACCGCCAGGTAGGTAGAGTTTTGCGAAAACTGACGGACTAATTCTCCCTTCTCTTTTCATAGAAACGTCTCCAATCCCTTCCACTACGAACATCACCCACATCACAGCGACAATGGACTGCTCCGTCAAACACTATTACACCATCTAACTCAGATTCTGATCCTGATGACGTGCAGCGCAGTCCGGCCATGGACGTCGACCGTGACGCCGATATGATGGTAGATGGACAGTCTTCCGATCTCCTTGAGCCAGGTCCCTTCCACCCTGACTCGGTGTCCACGAGTATCACTAGCCGCATGCCAACGCCTATCCATCCTACCTTTGCAGCTCAAGTGCGAGGAAATGGGTGGAATGACGTAGCAGCCAATGCCGCAATGCTCTCTCAATCCGACTGCTTGAACCATTACCAAGATCCTTCGATCCCCCGGTCTCTTGATGGTACACCCGACTTGTCGCTATTGCAAAATCGCCGGCTACCCTCACCAATCAGCGAAGATGGGAGAGAAGAGATGCTGGCGACTCCCGGAATGGTCTTGGACAATTGCTCACCCGTCATGGCACAGCTCCAGCGGCCGTACCTCCCTCACCTACCTCATTCCACCAACCCGCATGCGATGGCAGTCCATCCAAATATTCGCATGTCGCCGCAACCAGCCGAGAGTGACGTCGCGATGGAAACCGAGGAAGGCTCCCCATCGTCGGCACCCGCCACACCCTCACCGCGCGGTAAATATGGCCACAGCCGAAGCAAGCACACTCTCAACAACTGGACGTTACAGCCAGGCATGAAGAAGTCGTTCAGTATAGGATACCGAGCTGATTGCGAGAAGTGCCGCATGAAGATCCCTGGCCACTTCAACCACATCATCATCTCCTAGGAGGAAGCGGGTTTGCATCAACATTAGCATTCTGGTATAAAAACCGGCTGGAAGCCATGGGATATGGAAAAGAAATCCAAACCGGTGTCACCCTTCAAGGTGACTGTTAATGCCCTCGATCTCAAGACGCCGCTTCCATCTCACGACTCGCTTTCCGGTGGACGTCCTTTGACATGCAGAGAGGTCAAGGGTTATGGTATCGGGTCATACATATCCGTTCCGTCACCACGTAGCAGCAAACTCTATTCCTTGTTGCGCACAACTTTATTTGCCGTCTCACTCTCTTAATTCGCAGGATAAAGGCTGCTTACATTCTCTGGCACGCTTATCCGTTATTCTCACTCTCTCCACTCTTTACCTTCCGACGTCTGGTTTCCGGCTCTGTTGTCACTCATAACTACCTGCATCACTCGTTCTGTTCTTAATGTCATTCTCTTTTTTACTTCCCCACTCAACATATACCCACACCAGTACGTTCATTCTTCCAGCATTGCATTGTCAGACGCAGGGGGTTCTTTCATTCAAAGAGATTTCGGGCACACAGCACACATAAGGCGCAGTCATTTGTCACTATTACCACTGGAGGTTTATGACAGTAATTTGGGGGGCGGAAAGGTATGGAATGGGAGTGAACTCTTTCCCCTAGGCGTTCTCTTTTTCTTCTTTTTCTTTTTGTCTCTGGTACCTGGGTTTTATAGACGGAGAAGAAAGCTGTCGACGGCAACAAACATAGGGGCGGCTGCAGTTGGCTTGATTCCAGATGGTATGGACCACCAAGAAGAAGAAGAAGAAGAGGAACGAAAATCAGTTGTGCTTGTCTCTGCATTACAGAAAGTTTTATACCAGTTTACGGAAGCGAGAGGAGTTTCTGCTACTAGTATACATCTCAGTAGCGGTAGTCGACAGATCACATACACGGGAGACACACAACTTGAGAGACGGCTGACCTGGCTGTTTCGACATTCAGTAGTGTGATGGAGAATCAATTGATATTCTATTGCTACTCTGCATGTTGTTCATTTCTGGCTATTTAAGGAACTTAAGTGTGAATTGGTCACTAACACTTGAAGCATATGACCGAGTCAACGATCATAAGGATAACTCGGGTACGAAACGGATTGGATGGGTCAGAGCAACGCCCCTTGGATCGACAGTCTGTCATTCATTTATGCTATGTATACCATGCCATCCATCTGTCAATCACCCAAGATTATCTACATGTATCTATCCAGAGGGCAAATTACCTGCAGCCTTGACAAGTGAATAATTTCTGGACAGAGTGCTACTTAATTCCTTAGGTACCCATCAGACATGCGAGTTACAGATGAAGCATAACAGGAGCCAATAAAGAAGTTTCTTCACAAGTCGTTTTTATTTATGTACCTATATATACACGGATAAGATCACGGAGTTGGTAGTAAGTTGCAGGTAACAAGATCCCTCCCTCTCTTTCCCTGCCCCTCGCTCCCTCTCTTATCTAAGAATCTGCCTCTGCCATGGCCATCCTATTCGTCCAACGCCGAGGATGCAAAATTCGTTTATTCAGTCTCTTCTTGCTTTTTCGCCTTTTTGTCTTTCTTTAATTTTCTCTCCTGGTTATTCCTACACGTGATATTGACAGACCGATAACGATACAATGACAGATGACAATGCAAATGCAAATGCAAATGCAAAAAAAAAAACCCCTCAAGTATGGCCGACCGTCTTTGGTAGGTAGGCAAGATTATGTTTGGGATAATGGGATGGAGGATGGTACAACGGTGGCGATGAGTGTTGTTACGTGTAGAGTATAGGTACAGTCCAAAGTGAAAGAGGGATAGGATGGAGGCTAGTTTATCGAACTACCACAGCCACCCTTTCTTCTTGGGCGTTTCGTCGGCACCGTTCTTGGCTAGACCAACCTGATCCAACGGACCTCCTTTCCGCTGATTATCCCGCTCAGTCTCGAAGGCGGCTTTGGCCTTGTCACGGAGCTCCTCGGTCGTCGTCGTCGTTGTTGTCCTCCAGCGCTTATCGTCTGCAGAGAGGGTCTCGTCGTTCTCGGTATAGCGCGCTTCCTCTTTCTTAAGTCCTCCGAATAGCCAGCCTG